TTAATGTTCAAGAAAACCTTCAGTAAACACAACTAGAACACCGTAAAATGATATGTACTCTATGCAATACAAAAACCTTTGAAGCGCGAATTCAACACACACATAGCTGCTAAAAATTTTTACCTTAAAGTGAATAATTAAAGTTTAAGTACACTAACGAAACTTCTAGTTTAGAAGACACAAGAAAAGTAAATTCATGATGTTATATTCATCTTGGTGACAAGCAGTGGAATCCAGGACGCGTGTTTCGTCCTAGTTGAGATTCGTCAGCTGGAGGTATCTGCACCCCAGTGAGTGATGTTGTTCCCACTGAGACTTAAGCCGAGTACCCATCATTTCAAACGCCAAAGCGTTATCCACTAGGTCACTGGGGCATAAGGGATACATCTTGTACAACGAGTATTAGTTATTATTATTTTTTGAAACTTGGCGATCGAATTGATCGACCACTGTTGGCATATGGACTCCTATGAGAATGCCAGCTGATGAATCCCAAGGAGGACGAAACGTGCGTCTTGGATTCGACTACTAGCCACCAAGAAGACTGAAACACAATGAGTAATCGGGTAGTATAGAGGCATCTGCATATTGACCCAGCTAGCATTAGAGGTCGAACAATTCCACCCAGTATATTATTAAGTGAACTCTATTTTAGCCAGGTGAATATGGACAATAAATTATGTCCGACACGTTATCCTGTAGATGATGCTGTTACACTGTCTGACAGTTCTAATCAAAAGTCTTAAATGGAACTACAAGAAAAAGTCTCTTCAGGTGTTAAACAAAAAATATGAATTTGCATCCGAAACTGTGTTTAGGGAACAGTCCCTGATGGTTGGTATTCGTCATATGAAGAGATGAAGACTACCAGATTGGGGTACTTAAGACAAAAGGAATCAGTGGTTCAGAAGCGTTGGTGACATAGCTGAAAATTGGTCATGATGGCGCAGATTTATTCCCTGCTTGACATCTTCTAAAGCTTGAATAATCACACTAACCTTCATTCTTTAAATTGCTTATTTTCTCACATTACTTTGTCCACTTTGATATCAGTCTTTTCTTATCCGCCTGTTCTTTGTGTACTACTGTGAAGTGTAGCAACTTGAACCGATGCATTTGAATGCGAGGTTCTACTTTAATTTTGTCTGTCAGTCAAGAGGGAGTTGAACGGGTGCAGAAATCTGCTAGGAGAAAGAGTAAAACTTGGGCATTGTTTATTATTAATATTTGTCCTTTGGGTTCCGAGTGGAACATAAGGCTCCAGTAGCACATCACCACTTCAGTCTGGTTCCATGACTGCCCACAAGTTTCCATTTCTTCCCCACATAGTCTCCTCCACGTCACCCTCGGACTCCCAACTCGTTGTCGTTTCCCCTTTGGGTCCCCCACCCGAAAGCCCGGCCTGACCTGTGATGTCCCCGAATGGTTTTCTCAGTGTATGCCTAATCCAATCCATCTCCACTTTTTCTGCGTATTCGTTGGGTGATAGGTTCTTGGTTGGTTCGTTGTTAGGCCAGAGTTCCTTGTTGTTCATTTTTATTATTCTAGCCATCTGATCTTCAGTATAGAGCATAGGAAGCTGTTGATGATGTATGTCTGCAGTTTGTTAAAAATGCTCTTCGTGACGTGCCAAGTCTCTCAACCATCACATAGAAGCACTCGCTTAACGTTGGTGTTGAAAATCCAGATCTTGTTCACGCTTTATGTAGTAGATCTCCACACTGATTTCAGATTGATGAAGGCCTGTCTTGCTGTCTTCTCGAACTTGGCTTTGAGGTCCTCATCTGTGCCGCCCACTGTAGGTGAAACGATGCTGCCTAGTTAGCTGAAAGAGGCAAGTTCCTTTAGATTTCTCACGTCCATCGTGATTGGTGCTAGTTGTTGTCGTTGTTGTTAGTTGGGTATCTTCATCACCTCTGTTTTCTCTACCTTCACTTGAACTACTGTCTACGCTGCCTCAACTCGCCTATTCTGTTGCTTTTCGCCTGCAGATCTTCGAGTTTGCACGACATTAGACATAAGTCGTCACGGGCGAAATTCAAATCTTCTTCTAGGCTCTTTTCATCGATCAAGCCAGCGTATGCCCATCTTCTCGCTCCTCATAGTTTGTTGCATGACCTAGTCACGTCGACTACAATCAAGAAGATCATCGATGATAGTAGGCAGCCTTGTCTTAATCCTATCTTCACTTCAAAGGCATCACTGAGCTTTCCATTGTGAATCATTTGGCATGTAGCATCATGTAGCATATAGCTGTTGAATGAGGTTGATAAAGGTTTGTGGCACTAAAACCGTAGTGTTGCAGCGGCTGCCTGCCAAATTACTTCTCGGTCGACGCTGTCGAATGCCCTTCCAAAATCGATGAAGTTGAGGTATGCTACGCTCCATTCAATGATGATGCGTAGCGTTGCTAATTGATCCGCACATGACTGTTCCAGCACTGTGGTAGATTGTAATTCCATTTTAGTCTGTGTACTAGAAATGTCACACAGTGAAACAGTATTATTTACTGGATGGTGTTTCGAACATAATTTCTTGCACATATTCGTATTAGATATGAATGTGCACTTAGATATGCCTATGAGTATGGACAATAAATTATATCCAACACGTTATCTAGTAAGTGATGTCACTTTGTGACATTTCTAATAAAGAGGCTAAAATGGAATCACAACCCACCACGCTCCTTCTATATTCATAAAACTTTGGTGTTGTTTCCACGGGTAACGCAAAGTGTGCTCCTAGAAAGTGTATCTCTAATCGACTGAACAGGTGATGATTTGACGGATTTTTGTCATACAGTCCCAGCGGAGTTCCCTTTGGAAATTATGTACACATCTACATAAAACGCTTAATAAGCAGTGAAGTTTTGCAAATCAGCAAAGGTACTATCAATTCATCCATTCATGGTTGAACTATTGAAGAAGCAAAAGACAGGTATGCAGGAAGGAATGCTGATTGTCAACAAGTAGGACAGTAGTCGTTAAATATGGTACACCTTGCACTAAAACCATCATTTGCAAAATATGCTTCATTTCCTCTTCTGCTTCTTTTTTGATTTGCTCTTCATACGCCCGCCTTGTCTCTTGCATTTCTCTTGGCGGAATCCTTACCCATTGCTAGTAATTCCCTATGATTTCTGCCACCCTCTCAACATATACTACTTATATCCATTCTTAACAGCAACGCCCATTACACTGTGTGTACAAAAAAAATTATTTTCACTATTTTATATAGTCTTAATCCCTTTTCTTCTTTCCTAGTGTCACAATGAACAATCAGTTATCTATTATACCACCTACTTTGATCAAATTTTTCTTACTTTACACCTTGCTTCATATATAAAAGCAAGTTTTTTCAACTTTTCACTTTACTTACGTTTCTTATTATTGTCATTATCAACCTATTTATCACTGTATCGTTTCTGTCTGTTAAAACATTTTATCCTATTTTTGAGTAAATTTAAGAATACAAAATAGAATCAAAGAACACACAAATGACCTTGATAAATTAATCAGATTGTAGATATCTTGATCAAACAGTACACTATCTGCTTTCAGGCTATTGACAGATTAGTATTCAGGCAAATTATTTTCGATAAAACGAGATGTACAATATGGTGCATTCTCGATAGGTCAAAGTGGTACGCTCGTCAAATATTAATTTCCTTGAATTATGTTTATATTAGAATGCTACTCATTCTTTACCAACACTCTTATAACGTTAAAGAATACTTTAATTGAACAATTTTATCAAAATCATCATGCATTACTGCTAACTATTAATGTCACACATATTTTATGCAGTTCGAAACCTATTTAATATATTTTTAGTCGAATTAATTTTTTAAGGTCAGGTATGTATTGCTTGATTTGGTTTGCCATTTTTTAACTTGCCAATTTTCGGAGATCAGGTTAACAACATACCTCTGTCATACTAATTATTGATTATTATCGATCGATATACATTGATTGTTCATTGGAAAATAGCCAATTTCAACCAGTTTAGTTTTAATAAGCACCGATCGAATTCTGTACATCATTTTGCAATGTGGTCATCAAGCTAAGAAATTCACCAGAGCCATGAATTCTGACTGGTGTTAGTTGGCTAGAGGCGATGGGTAGGAAACTTTGCCTCACCTAGATTGGTTTCGCGCTTGCGGGCACTCGTCAGTAAGGTGCGTCTGAAACTTAAAGGGAACTGATTTCCTCTCACAGATTTAAACCTACGTTAGCCAGTCCTGTAGTCACAAACCTTACTACTGAGCCATTGTCTCCAACCAACTGACATCCACTAAAGTCTACTGCTATGGTACGTCTCCTAGTATGGTTGGCAGATTTCGGTCAATACTCACAACTAGACAACAAAATTGGTTACTATCCCATGACTAGTCAGCCAGACATCAATAGCGGACCGAATACCTTAGTGACAAAGCCTCCCAGTGCAGAAATGGGTGACGCGCATTCCAACCTCACTGGGGACATAAGTTCCCTTGGAACTTTGGAAACACCTTGCTGACGAGGAACAACAACCACAAAACCAACCTAGGTGTCATGCAAGGCTTCCTCCAGATTGCTTCGAATCAACCAACAATATATATCTACGACCGTGATTAGGAAAAAAGCGATTGGACAATATACACAATATAAGTGTAAAAACCAAGCTGAGACCCTCATCTCTCGTACACTGGACATAGTTACTAGTTACTTCATTTCTAACGACTTTTACGGCTTTTCAGATATGAAAGCCCAGCTAAGTTCTATCATAAACACACAGGAGGAAATTAGTTGTGTCACTCTTCTGAGAGATCCCACTGTTGATAAAGTCAAACCAAATATTGAAATGTTTTCAAGCAGAAACTTCAGCGTATGCTGTGGTTCAGTTAAGATATATTTAACTGTTTATACCTTGTATATATTGGTTACTTTCCTTGAGTATGAAGAACCATGAAAAACATACAGAGGGATAAAAACAACAAATAGAAATACGCATAAAATTACCTGATGTTTTCCTTGAGCTATAAGACGTGTTCTCATAACATCCAATGGTTCGCAGATTGCAGACGCAATTATGCCAGTTACACAACCAGCTACTAGGTCATGTAACCATATTGATGAGGGGTTAGGGTTAGTTCGATCAATTAGGAGATTTTCAATAGCATAGAAACTCGCAAACTAAGAGGTAAATTATGAAAGAATATCTCATGAACACGAAAAATAATAAGAACAGCAATAACTGTAGTACTAAGAACACATGAATTGTGAGTAGGGGATAAAAAAAGATCTAGAATGCAATTGCATTTAAACTAAACCCCGACTTTACATAGAAGGTGCTTTGCAACCAAGTGAGTTCTGTTTATGTGCAGTAACACACCATAAGACAGGCAACTACTACCATAATCTATTCATTCAAGGTGGATACACATACTACGTTAACTTTAGAAAAGTAGATATTGTTGGAGTTGACAACTGTTAACCAGCTATACTAGCATATCTGAAAAAGTATCTGTATGAAGAACAGTACATGTCAGTCTTTGAAAGGTGGCCGAGGTTTAATGACCAAGGTCAACGAAACAAATAGAGTGCAATTAGTAACTACGCGCATGTTCCAGCAGTAGACAATTAATCAAACCCACTGTATGAAGGGGAATCATACTAGCTAGCTTCCCAAACCTCAATAATCTAGAATGGTGTTCGAACCCTTGGCTCACCGATTGGAATCTCATAGCTAAAGCTCCAAAGTGAAAGGTCACGAATTTATATGGAGATAACTGTACACGTTAATCAAAGACAAATGCAATTTGGGCTTATGAACATGAAAATGTTTTATTTTCTCCCTGATAGCCGAGAAAAAGGAAGTTGGATCACCAGGTTGTGAACTCATTCAAGTTAATATCAACATGAGACCTGGTAATGATATGCTGTGAAGTTGAAGCTAATGAAATAATCTAGGCATGTAAGATATATGCCACACTTTGCAGAAGACCATTTGTGTCATTAAGACAAAAAGCAAGCTAACTTACCTGTGCTCCACAGAATGTGATAGATAGAAGTTGTCCCGGCACATGACCTTTCCATAGACCACGTACACCTTCTTCTTTATAAATTCGACTGAATGCTTGCAGTAGACCAGAGTAATAAGATTTTCCTGTAGGTTTTATATCTTCAACTTGTAGCTTAATTATTTTATTTTATTTATTTTACACAAACACAATTCCATGAAACGAAATTAGTATACAATACCTGAAAGCGGATTTTCATAACATCCAAAGGTTGTGTAATAAACCTGACTGTGAAACCAGATAATCCACCAGCAAGAAGATTTTTCGCATCATTGTGCATATTTTATAGGTACGATAATCAACATACTATAAAATGAAAGTATAAATGAAGTCTAAATGCATCTAAATGGTTCGATGAAATCCTACCACCTTTTTCCATAACTAGTCTGAAAGAGAATGGAAAATTAACTGTAACCAACTCAACAGAACATGGGTATACGAAAATTTTTATGAAATTCTTGAGGAACTAATTACCTTTTGAGCACTTACATTACACAAAGTTATTGAAATCTAATTGCTAACTGGATGTATAAAGTAAACAAATACGTTTACTGATGATAATGGAAGATTATCTTTTCACTTGGTATCAATTTTTGTTTGAAGAGTTTGCTGACTGAAATTCCGATCATGTGGACTAATAATAACCTACTCTTTACAAGTCCTGAAGCTAATCTTGTAGGATGGAGTTGAGAGTATACACTACTGGTTTATAAGGGTATTTCAGATCCCGTTAGCCCATGACAAAAGCCATCAAATAGCCCAGTCTGGTAGAAAACTTGTAGACTACCTGCATACTGCTAAATAATCATTGACACTTTCTGGCATCGAATGCATCCATGAGTAAATAGGAACTTTTAATTATGAATCTCAAATGAAAGAAAGAAAGGGCTGATCTGTCAGCACACCAAATCCTGTTGTGGTGTATATTAGATCGTTGGTATATCAGTAAAAGTATACTCATATTAGTGCATGTAACACATGATCGTTGCACAATGATATCACCACTAGAAATGTTTAGTTTTAAAGTGTGCGACTTACAGGTAGTGAGTGAATAGTGGTTAAAATCACATGGTCGAAATAGACTAAAGTGGTGATCAAAAGAAATTATAAATGTGGCGGAAACGTAAAAAAGGAATTGGGGAGTTCTCAAATCTTACGAATATGATATGGACACTCTAGCAAAGAAAACTTTGAAAACAAAGATAACCATAAAGCTACTACACTGCTACTCATCATTCGTGGATGTGTACTTCTTGGCAAAACTGTTCGAATATATAATTAAACAAATCAGTTGTTCAAAAAGACAGTCCAACCAAACTGTAGTGATTGTAGTTCCTAGTTCTAAGTGATATATGACGGGGGCGATCAGTTGTTTGAGTAGGCCAGCCGTGTTCTTGAGGCTGTACAAGCTGCTGACTAAAAATGCTGAGGATTACGTCGTTTGTTATTTATAGAGAATAGTATTACTTACGCAAAGTGCAAATCGTGAACGTAGCCTAAAAGTGACTTTTATGCCTAACAATATATACCGAAATATTAGAAAAAGATCACAAGGACGATATTTATTTAAACCAGCCACAAATAAATATTTTATTATTACAATGGGTTCTGTTGTGAAACAGATAAGTTACCTACGCCTCAGTAATAGACGGCTGATAGCAGACATATTGACCAATCAGGATGGAGGATATGTAGGGCATCACAACAGTAAGTAGTTGCGGTAGGCTGTTACAAAACATACATCCATTTACAATGGTAGGTGGAGATCTCCACATTTTTAGTCGGTTAGTCCTCTCTGAAACCATCCTACGGTTGATATTAACACTCATCCGCATGAAATCCTATCATCTACCCTCCTGATCACGTTTAATGTCTCCAGAACCTTGATCCGCATCTCTACTTGTTTTCATAGTTCTAGTTGAGTGACTAAGGGATTGGATTTGTTATCTTACTCCAGATGAGGATTCATGTGGTTTCCAGGCGTCCGTATATATTACTCCCCGTTCCATCCATTGACTATGACCGGTAGGACAGATTCTTGTTATGAGTCTTGTATCCGTTTGAAATGTCCTTTTTTGTAGTTCAGGTCAACTAGCCTTCCATCGTTGTTTGCGTCTCTGGTAGAGACATTTACCGGTTTCTAATATTTTATGTACATCTTTAGGCTTCACATTGAACTTGTAGGTTACTTCGATGCAAACATCTCTGCAGTGCTGACCGTTAGTGAATTCACATCCGTTAGGGTTCCCTTCTAATGGTAAAGGTGTCCAAAAAATCCAATGCAGTATTAAAATCATTATTTGTGGTAGAAACAAATGGGAAGCTTTGAAAAGTGATCCCGTTCCTATGGATTTCTTTTACTGACAGTTTGGGCAACCGAATATGAAACCATCTTCTTCATTGTTATCAGGTATGCTAGTCACTGGCTTAAAGTAGTGGTCCAAGTTGCATACCACAATGACCCCACAAGTTGTCCTGGTCCTATCATACGAGAAAGGTTTACTGGATAAAGATGAGAAAGAAAGCAGTTACCGTTATACTACAAACTGCTACACAATAATGGTGGTTCGAGGGCAAAGTTGTACTCCTGGATGGACGGGAATGTGACAGCAATAAGGTGTTTTCCTTGGGCTCCTGTGTGTACGCTTTGATACTGCCTGTCGTTTCAACTCTGATATTATTGATGAATGAGCGTAAACCGACTGACAAAATCAGCGTAGCACCTCGCATACAAGTCCATCAGCTCAAGTTGCCACACTTCACAGTGGTATACAAAAAACAGGTGGATAGAAAAAGTGATATCAGAGTATACAGAGTTGTGTGAGTACATCAATCTGTATGAAGTCAGACGTACCAAAGGTTAAGTCCATCAGTACGTTTATGACGAAGTTAAGCAGGAACGGCGTCAGTGGGTATCCCTGGCCGACACTAGTTGTTGTCAATTCTGATGACAACTTTCCATAAGCTTCTACATGGTTGCGTGAGTTTGAGCAGACAATTTCGATTAGCGTTATATACCTGTTTCACAGCCAGACACTGCCACACTTTACGGTCAACTCGGTCAAAGGTAGCTTTCAGGTCAAGAAATATGGCAACTGTCCTGCACTGGCTGGTAAGTATGCTTGTGCTACAGGACCTGTCGGAAAGTGAAAATGTGATCGATACACTCTCTTTTAGGTCTGGAACTTGCTTAGTTTTCTCGAGTTTTCTGTTCTGCAGCTACAGTTAGGGGTCGGATAGCCATGGACCCTAAGATCTTGGACAGTAATTCCTCTGTAGTTGTCACGGGACCTCTCTTCCTTCTTACAGAGTGGGATGATCATTGAAGTACACCAATTTGACGGTATTACCTCGGACTCCCATACGCTGCGCAGTACCTAAGTCATTCTAATCAGCAACTTTCTATCTCCTTCCTTGAAAACTTCGAATAGCAAACCATCAGGTCCTGCTGCTTTGAGTTGTTTTAGATCTGGTGCAGCTTTCTCAGCCTCATGGAGATTTGGAATATCGATAAATACGTCCCATTCAGGTTCAGGTTGGTTGGACGTTGAGAAACTGAAGCTTTGCTAAGCGCCAGCCGAACTGTAGTTCAAAGAGCTCTGCTCACCGTTCTAGCCACCTGTCCTGAGAGGTTATCAGCGTCCCATCTTTTTCGGTGATGGTTCCACTAACCATCGTCTTCTTCCCGCTTTCCTTGACAAGCCTAAATAGTTACCGAGCTTTACCTAACGCTGATTTCCTCTCCATCTCTCACTTTCGTCACCCACCACTGTTCGCGGTAGACACAAAGACTCTCATTAAACTTACGCTTCAGTTGCTTTCGCAAAAAAAAGTGTTGAAGACCGTAGCAAACTCTCAGAAGGTGGCTGAAAAAAGTCAGTTGACTTCAACAGCTTCTTTTGAATAAATGGATGGACATAAATGCATCCCTGCAGGCTCCAAATACAATGAGGAGCGAAAGCAATCCAAATACAGATTGACAGAATGTCTACATGATGAATGAAAACAGAAGTGGGTAGCTAAAGAGATGGAAAAAGCGCGATGATAGGTAACAATAAATAGTTATTTCAACTTATTGAGGAAACTGGGTAAAAAAGGTCAGCAGTTACTGAGACTATGGCGGAGAAGGATGTCTGAGATACACTAACAAAGGAGCGATTGGCGGAACACTTTGACAAACAGTTCAACTGGCCTCCAACCACAATTTCGTTGCAGAAGTTGAGAAGGCTGTAAGTAAACTGAAAAGAGGAAGAGCTGAAGTGTCGGATGGGCTGGTTCCAGAGGTATTTAAGGACAGTGAGAGAGGACCATTAGTTAACTAGTGTATAGGAGTCAGGTATTATCCCCTCTGACTGATCTCAATCACCATCTGTTTCCGACTTTAAGAGACGTGAGAAGTCTTCTTGTGATAACCACAGGAGAACCAGCCTGACGAAAACATTGCCCAAGATTCCAGTTTTCATAATTATCAAACGTCTAAGTGAAGCTCGGGAGAGCCAGGCAGGCTTTAAACCTGACGAAGAGAATATCGACCAGATATTCATAACCCACCAGGTTTTGAAACACAGGCACACTTACCGACGCTCGACACTGGCTACACTTCTTGACCTGAAGGCGACATGCGACTCCATCGATCGATAGCTTCTATGGCAGTATCTTTTGTAGGAAGGGGTACCGAGTAAGTGCATTACTTTGTTGAAGGCTTTATTCACGAAATCCTCACTCTCTCCATTCCTATTCAACTTCGTCATAGACGTACTTATGGAGGCCTTCCTCTTGTTGTCTGACTTCAAAGGAATTGATCTCATCACAGGAGAATCCTTAATAAACCTAGAGTACGCCGATGACATACTCCTATTAGGTGAAGGCCCTGACAAGATGCGGAATCTTCCGGAAACCTTGAGTGGCAATTTCGAAATGTTTGGGGTGAGTTTCTTGTCACGCGAATGCTGACTGATGCTTCAGAAATTATCTTCAGCGATACCCCAGCTACAATAGGGAGTGAAGTGGTTGGGTGCAATGACCACTTAAGTGAGAGGGAGGACCAGTCGTGATGGGTCATTGGCCGACGAAATCTGGGCATGAATACAAGAGGCTTAACTGGCTGTTGCCAACTTACATCATTTGTGGTGACGCCGGGACATTCGATTGTCCATTAAAGTTCGAGCAGACTGAGCTGCAGTTCACTGTTCTACTATATGGTCGTGAAACATGTTCATTAAAGGTAGAGGACACGAGAAGGCTTCATATATTTGACCACATTTGCCTTTGTAGCACATGCCATATGTCGTGGTGTCAACGTTTAGTGATGAGAGTCTTACAAGAGTTCTGAACTTAACGGTGCTCTAACTTACAAGCAGCAGAACCCATTTCCACTAATAGATTTCAGCAATACTTCTTCCTCCTTAACAAACTTCGGACCTGACTATCTATCTAAAGGGGTCTGAGGCCTTTGTGGTACTGACCAAAGAATGAAAGGAGACGTGACACTTTCAGACCTTATCTTAAATCTTCCCCAACCATTTTCACCAGTACAGTCTGCATTGGCAGACTAGTTCAGAGAGGCTGTGGTGTCATGAATCGCCGTTAAGTCTGTACGCCAAATTTTTTGTCTGGAGAGGATCGATTCTTGAACCAATTCCCAAATTGTAAATCTAAAGCCAATAACTAGACCACCACTACTTGCTGGCAATGAAACGTACTGGAGGTTATTTATATCCTCATAGTGGTGAGTAAAGGCTAGATCCAATTACGAAGTCTCATGCCCTTTTGTACCAGAGCACACTCGAGGGTGGTTAGTAGCAGTTCAATATCGAAACATCTATAGGAGCATACAGCCGTGAGCTTCTTCCAATAAAAATAGGGAGCATCCAATTTTCTTATTATTAAGAACCTATTAGTAATGCTACAGCTACAAAAGTAATTTAATACTAAATCATCCGCTTGGCAATTAGGACTACGATAGATGACTCCGAAAGTTACGGTATCTTGTCTAGACTTAGTATCCCAACATGATATTTCACATTTGACACTAATGTGCACTACTGAAGCCATCAAATGTGCTCCTATACGTTCCCGAATATACGGTTCTTTGTCACCACCCTTACAACTAATGACTATCGGTCTATGCACAGGTAAATCCTGGTATAAGTGTAAAGTTCATGCCCTCTAGTAACCATGTTTTCGATATTTTTACCACGTCAGGTTTTCGACAAACTAAATCTCCCAACTCAGATAGTCTATTCTAAGTGGAAGTTAGCGTAACACACCTCTGTGTTGCCTAGGGATTTATCCGATTTATGAACAGCAGACTCGGTAATACTGGCTGCCGAGACGTCAATACACAAAAACCTAGTATTTTCAGACTTTTTGGCCTTTTACTTGCAGACCTATCAGTTCAGTTACAGCAACCCCTCTCTTTATCTTGTTTTCAAGTGGCGAGTCAGCACATTTGAGCATATTTCTTTGAGGATCCGGAGTACAGCGCAAGGCTCGGTGAGGCGAAGACTTCGATGGACTTTATCTATGAGTATATTTCTTTCATTAACCTTATATGCATTCCTATGAATTTCTTGTCTTCCGTGAATACCAAATACAACTTTCAAAAAACGTCATGCAGAAGCAACTTTAACTGCTTCCCACTGACCCTACCTTAATACCCTCTTGGCGTGTGCTCCATCAGAAGACTTTGGTAGGTGTTGTAGTGCTGGTCCAACAAGATACTAGCCGTGGACGAGTTTATCGACTCGTCCAAGTTTCGAAATATTACACTAGTCTGCATCCCTGGTTTGGATCCAGTGCATAATCCTTGGTTACTTTTTAAATTTTTTTGATACATTTGGCAGTAACCTCTTATTGTTTGTGGGTTTTTGCTTAGAAGCACCAATCAACTGGAAATAGGACGCCTCTGTATTATAAGAAGCATCGTTTTGATTTGTCTGGTGCGCAGGATGAACCATGATCTCCCGATGGTTGGCTGACTCAAATTAGAGGTCCAACTGCTGACTTCCTTTCTTTCTAGGCTTACGTAGGGTTATAGAAACAGGTGCATCTGTTCACACGTCTATGCCTGCTTCAAGGACCTTGTCATTCTTAACAACTCTCATTCCCTCACTGGCTTCCATTTATTGGACTTATTTAACGTTTATGACAATAGCTGTGTCATCGCCAGATTCAAAACTGCCAACGATAGTTTTAGTAACACGTGTTACTCACATAGTACTATATGAGTCACCGGGAAAACAAATAGTCAACAAACTCTTGAGTCGCAATGCCGTGATTCGCAACAGAAGTCGCATGGACAAGGAGACACAGGTTTAATGCACTGTTTATAAATTATGTGTATTAGTTCACCATATACCTGATGCAACCAACATTCCTGGCTATCACATTGCACGCACTCAACAACCGGGAATTTACAATCAAGTCCACCAAAAAAATTTCAGGCAACAGTGAGATGAAAACTTGAAGGGTGAAAAACGTACGTGAGACACTACACCAAAATAACCACAGTACAAAGCTTTAACACTAAAAACAACAAGCAAAAAAGCATGCGAAAAAAAATCATCCTAAACGAATTGTTAGGTTCTGACGAATTTCAGAGATTAACTTGAGATCCTAAAACCTGCATTTTGACCTGATACAAAGTAAACACTCCAAATAAAACCATATACATTTTTTCGGAAATATGCTTACCTGATTGGCTTTGTACTGTAACGCAAGGGTTGTGAAGCGCGCAAGCCTATCCAACAGCCAAACATTTTTATTGGAGCTAAGACAAGCTGGTAGGTTTCTCAAAGCTAACCTTTTGATGCTAATTGGTGTCTCAAGTCTTGTTCTAACGTCAAACATAAATAAGTTTGGTAAAAAGACTGTGAGCCTTTGAACTTGTAGCGTCATACACTTCCCCAAAATCAATAGCCTAGGGTTTGACGACTTCGACATTGATGCTGACCTTGATAGTTTAACTGGACTCGCTAAGCTGAAGGCATCCGGTCAAGCATCCTCGCCATTTGGCACGCTGTCGTGTTACGTTGCATTGCTCGTATTCGACTCTCTAGCCAGTTAGTTGGAACGCATCGGTATTTTGGCATAACCATCCAAATATACTATTCCATCCGACTACGCTATCGTGTTCTTCCTTGGTCTCGTATTCGTGGGTATATAACAAGTTCGAATAATTAGTGATTGGTCTTTGCGTCTGTCAAGTTCGCACCAGGACAAATCCTAAATTGGTGAGCCCGACGTGATCAAATACCCGACGTGATCACATATCCCGACCAATAACAAGTATTGAATTGGTGAGCCTGTTCCATTTTATATTTGTTTATTGTTTTCATTTCGATAACATTTATATATCCATTTACTACACTTTCTCATGTCCGACCACACTCCCAAGCTTATTCGTATTAAGCCGACCTCGAACACGATCCAACTCGTGCCATATTGGCCAGACAATGCAGAAACATGGTTTCTGTATGCCGAGGCCGATTTTCGAGAACAGGGTGTCTCAGATCCTCATCTCGATTTCTTGCTGTCATACGTTCACTACCGCGAGAATTAAACAGGTATGTTACAGCAAACATGTTTAATCCTGAAGTAAGTGACCCTTATGCACTTCTAAAGGCTGCACTCTTGAAGAAAAGCGATCTCACAGATCGCCAACGTCTAGACGAATTGCTTCGTAACATCGAGCTAGGCAGCCACTCAGCTACTGAAGTCCTCGCACGCATGCGAGAAGTAATCGGTGCACGAACATTTGACGATGGTTTCTTCCGAGAACTATTTCTCTCGAAACTACCACAACCGGTGCAAACCGTGTTGGTGACACTCCAGTCAGTCCCACTCGACGACCTGGCAGCTTCAGCAGATAAAATACTGGAGATATCCAGCAGACCCGTCTCCAACGTATATTCTATCTGTGACAAAACAGAGCGCCAGGATTCGGAGGTGACCAAGTTGTGCAACTCTGTGAAACGGTTGCTACGATCTCGAAGTCCTAGATCACGTAGCACTTCACAGAAACGCACCTTGGCGCATCGCAGCAAGTCGCGTGGTAGCCCTAAAACGAAACCCAACAGGGTGGAAAACCCTGAATGGTGCTGGTTTCATAACACTTACGGGGATGAAGCCAGAAAATGTCGTAAACCATGCCGTTTTAAGAAGGACATAAACTCGGGAAACGGTCACGCCGGCACGTGCTCACGGCAACCGTAGCCGGCGGAAAAAGCCGTTTGCTCTACGTCACCGACATTAAAACGAAAGTCCGCTACCTCGTCGACACCGGCGCAGAAGTTAGCGTTCTTCCAGCAACGACAAAGGAGCGTCATCTCGACCCATCCTTCAATCTTCAAGCAGCCAACGGCAAGGCAATCGCGACATTCGGGAGACGGTATGCCTACCTCAACTTAGGTTTACGCAAACCTATTCACTGGATTTTCCTCCTGGCAGACGTCTCTATGCCCATCATTGGCATAGATTTGCTGAACCATTACGATCTACTCGTAGATGCTCGCCGTCGACGACTGATAGATAACAACACAAAGTTATCTATTGGCGGCACCACCTATGTAGGTCCGAGTTTAGCCATCGTTAGGACTAAACAATCAGGCGACGCGTCCTACCAGGCAGTTCTGGAGAAATATCCAGAGTTACAACAACCGAAACACACTCTTCCGTGCATAACCAGCAATGTTATGCATCACGTCACAACCACAGGTCCACCTGTGGCATCCAAAGCTCGCCGTTTAGCCCCCGATAAGCTGCAAACGGCGAAAAATGAATTCGACCATATGCTCGAACTGGGCATTATCAGACCGTCGAACAGTCCTTGGGCATCGCCATTGCACATGGTGCCCAAAAAGGATAGCAACGACTGGCGTCCGACCGGTGATTACCGAAGGCTTAACGCCAAAACAACTCCGGACTGCTACCCTATACCCCACGTTTACGACTTGACCGCAACCTTATGCGGCATGAACATTTTCTCGAAAATCGACTTAGTCAAAGCGTACAACCAGATACCTATGGCAGCAGAAGATATCGCGAAAACAGCCATTATTACTCCTTTTGGCCTGTTTGAATTCCTGCGCATGCCTTTTGGTCTTCGGAATGCAGCACAAACATTCCAACGCTTTATGGACGACGTCTTCCGTGGTCTGAATTTTGTTCATGTCTACATAGATGACTGTCTAATTGCGAGTCCAGATAAGGAAACACACCTTAAACATTTGGACCTCGCATTCGAAAGACTCAAAAAACATGGCATCACAGTTAACTTACAGAAGTGTGAAATAGGAGTTGAATCACTCAGCTTCCTTGGGCATACCATTGACAACAAAGGTATACGCCCATTGAGAGATAAAGTGGCGGCTATCACAAACTATCCAGAGCCGACCACTGTGAAACATCTCCGCACTTTCAATGGCCTGGTAAGTTATTACCGAAGGTTTATCCCTAACTGTGCCTCTGTCATGAGACCACTCACAGATCTACTTCGAGGAACTGCGAAGTTCGTGTCTCTGGACAACGCGGCTAGACTTGCTTTCTCCAAAGTCAAGGAAGCCATTTCGAACGCAACCATGCTTATGCATCATGACCCCAATGCTCCTCTGAGTATTGCTGTTGATGCATCTGATTCAGCAATTGGAGCAGTTTTGCAACAGTTGACTGACAACCAGTGGCAACCGTTAGCCTTTTTCTCGAGGCGGCTGCAAGACGCGGAAACAAGATACAGTACATTTGGTAGGGAACTCCTAGCCATGTACTGTTCTGTACGCCATTTTCGACATTCTGTGGAAGGTCGTGATTTCATTATTTTCACAGACCACAAACCGTTAACGTTTTCCCTCAGCTCGGCGTCTGACAAATACTCCCCTCGTGAGTCGCGACAGCTGGATTACATTTCCCAGTTCACGTCAGACATCCGCCACATTTCTGGAGCAAACAACTCCGCAGCCGACGCACTATCTCGAATAGCTTCGATAAACTATATCGAGGGTATTGATCTCGTTGAACTAGCTCGGCGTCAAAAGGAAGACCTTGAGCTGCATCATGAGTTGTCGTCCACAACTCTCAAACTGCGACTTTGTCCTGTTGGATCAGACAAGGATGCAATTTTGTGCGATGTCTCTGCTAGTCAACCACGCCCAATAGTTCCGAAGAGTTGTCGACGCAACGTCTTCAATACGTTGCACAAACTCTCTCATCCAGGTGTACGAGCCACCATTAGGCTTATCGCACAACGTTTCTGCTGGCCTGGGATGAACAAAGACGTTAAGGAGTGGGCCCAGTCGTGCTTAGCTTGTCAAAAGTGTAAAGTCACGCGACACACGAAAAGCCCTTTAGGCTCATTTCTAGCCCCAGACATGCGTTTCGACCACGTCCATATAGATATTGTAGGACCCCTACCAGAATCTAATGGATGTACCTACCTTTTCACCTGTGTTGATCGTTTCACACGATGGCCGGAAGCAGTACCCATTAAAGATATTACTGCCGAAACAGTTGCTCGTGTTTTCGTCGAAAGATGGATCGCGAACTTCGGATGTCCATCCTACGTCACAACCGACCGTGGGCGCCAATTTGAGTGCGGACTATTTCACGCTCTAACGGCACTTTTAGGTTGCACTCGGTTCCGAACGACAGCCTACCATCCACAAGCAAATGGCATGGTAGAGCGTTTCCATCGACAGCTGAAAGCTTCCCTTTCAGCTACAAACATACCTCAGTGGACCGAGGCTCTGCCTCTAGTCCTACTAGGTATTCGTAACGCGTTGAAAGTTGATGCTGGATGCACTCCTGCAGAACTCGTCTATGGGACCACTCTTCGCCTACCAGGTGAGTTTGTTTCCCCTTCAACTTTCAAACATGTTTCCGATAGGGCATCTTATGTGACTAGGCTTACAAACGCAATGCGTTCAGTTAGGCCTTCTCCGATTAGACCGCAAACGACTGATGTTTTCGTCCACCCCAGTTTACAGAAGACATCACACGTGTTTGTTCGCCACGACGCTGTTCGTCGACCACTTGAACCACCCTACGACGGGCCGTTCAAAGTGATTAAGCGACATGAGAAATTCTATGTAATTGAGCGAGGCGGACGCGAAGATACTGTCAGTATCGACCGTTTGAAACCAGCTTATTTCGAAGGCAACCCCATTGTAAGTGACGTTTCAGCTCGCTACATCCGGCCGACGGATGACTCAATTATCGAAATTCTCGACGATGTGCCTGGTAATGCACAGCTGCAACAACCAGCGGCGCAACAAAAAACACGATCAGGTCGAACCGTCAGGTTCCCAGAGTACCTGAAGTCATATTCAACTTAGCTATGTGTGTGCCAACCATTTTTTTTCGAGGCACTATTTTTCTTATTTACCGGCACAAACCCTCGTACACTTTGCCTTTTTATATCAATTTTTATTTACCATGTAATAAAAACTAAAAAAACCGGCGAAGATAAGCGTAAATTTTTATTTTTCGACACGTTTATATATAAATAATTCCCATTTTTACGCAACGTTTTCGTGGTATTAAAGACTTTTATTTATATTCCAGGTGCAACGAGCACTGGACGGAACGTCGAAAGGAACAGATGACCGCGACCGACGTACAATTTCATTTATTTAATCGCCACGACACCCTAGAATAAGGTTCAGACAACCAGGGGCCACCTCACGCAGTGAGCCCATCGGGAGAGTTTTACCAGTGGAGAAACCACTGGGTTTTTACTTCCGGCTGGTATCGTCTTAGGGTCCTCACGAACCCACTAGGGGGGGAGTGATCTGTAGCGTCATACACTTCCCCAAAATCAATAGCCTAGGGTTTGACGACTTCGACATTGATGCTGA